GGACACACGTCGGGTCCCTGGCGGGATTCAAACCCACGACATTACGGTTGCGAGTCCGAGAGCCTAACCACTAGGCCACCGACGCCACCATATATAGATATAGACAGATATATATATATGTGAGGCAGCGTGGTGGAATCAGGCTCTCGTCAAAATAATCAAAGTGAAGAAACTTGCATTTTTCCGCAGGTTTGTGAATTTTTATAAAATTTTGTTTTTTGGCTCAACATCTTTCATGCCCTTTAAAGAACTAATTTCTGTGTGGATTTTTCTGAAAAACGTCGATTAAAAGCACAAAAAATGTAAATTTTTAGTTACCACGGACTCTTAAGCTAAGGAAATAACTAATCTTTGCCGGCCATTTCACACTAATTTTACCTCTGAAAACAGGTGACCCCCACCCCCTTCATTCGGAAATATCTCGACTTGTATTCAAGATTAATGGCTACTTTTTTCATTCAAATAAAGACAATTGAGCAAGCTTTAAGATGATACCAATACCTCTACATGCCCAAAAATTGACGAGAGCCTGATTCCGCCACGCTGCCTCACATATGTAGGCTACATAGTTAGGTATGCTATTACTTTAACATTACGCTTTCCGACTTCTGTTACTTTGTAGTGTGGAGAGAAGAAGCACACATCTTTCTCTTGTTTGTTGTATCGCCTGTTGCCTGGTATTTCGTTCTATCCGTCTTTTCCTGGGACTGCCTCTTCCTCTGGTTCCATCTGATCCCTGGTTACCCCCCTCCCCAGGGCAGTGCTACTGACGGAAGTGTCTTTAGGGTGTTCCCAAGAGGGGGGGGGGTATTAATATGTTCTTATGCATTGTAGAATTGTAAATGGGCTGATTTATCTATGTCCTGCTCATACCGTGCCGGAACAACATAAGGGGGGGGGGGTGGAACTGCTGTTTTTTCTTTCCTTATCCTTACTACCGTCATTTTCCTCTACTTCTTTTACATGTTTGCCACTCTCTTGTGAACTGCTATTTCCGGGGTGTCTTGATAGTCGAAGCAGACTTTTGTGCTGTTGAGGCTAGAGGTGTGAGCAGAGTAAGCCTGATTCCCTGTTTTGGACTTTTCTGTTGACATCCACGCCTTGGCGCTCATATATGACTTTATGCAGTTGCGAGCGCCGTAAAAACTTACTATAACAAACTTTTATCTTCGGCACTTATATCAAATGTACTATCTTTGCTTATATGACCCAAATGTGCTGCAAGAGTCGTAAAACGTACTAAAACTGACGATCCATGGTTGTATGCTGTCGCAGCTTTCCTACCTCTTGGTAGTCTTGACAGACGTGCAAACCATTATTTAGTATCTTTCGTTGTTCATCTATTCTATGTATTGCAAACAGGGAGATGAGCTTACTTCTTTTCTCTCTCTTTCTGAGCATGTGTGAGTGTATGTGTGTGTATGT